AATTTGAAATAGCCGCTCACCAAAACAAGACTGATTTGAAATCCCTTGTTTACAGGATTTTACATCTTGAACATTTTCGAACAACATGACGCAATAGAAAAATGAAAATCATCAAGACTTCCTGCTGGTTGTACTAAAGTAGCTGGTCCGAGCAACTGGAGGTGATGATCATACGATAAACTTGCTTTGTTGCAGCCCTTCYCTTCTTTTGAGTGTTTACTAGAGAGTGCGTTACCAACTGTTATTGATTTGAATTTAATCGGCTATCAGTTTACAGCGCCGATCTGATCGCAGCGCAGATCTGATTACAGCTTATGTAATAGGAAACCGATCACAACACAGGAAACCCACAAAGAGCAAAGTTACTTTTCTAAAAGAAGCAAAAAAAATATAGCCCGGTTCCCTGTGATATGGGTTGGTGCGTGTATGTGAGGGGTATTAATTTGCTGAGAAATCATGTCTGAAATCGTGTTATTTTTCCAGCTTTGTTACGTCTTTCCAAACCAGCCAATCTCAACGAGTTTGTATATCCAATATGTCTTCTACCTGAAGGAGCTAAATTTGAAGAAGGAAAGGAATGCTACGTGACAGGATGGGGGCATACTAAATGGCAAGGGCCCAAAGCAATCGTGCTGAGAGAGGCCAAGGTACGTTTAGTTCACGGGGATAAATGTAACGCTGCTAAATCGTACAAGGGTCAAGTCACTAGTAGGGCTTTGTGTGCTGGATTCGAGGAAGGTGGAGTAGACGCATGTCAGTACGACAGCGGTGGACCGTTGGCATGTGAATACGATGGGCGATGGTACCTTACCGGTGTGGTGTCGTGGGGACATGAGTGTGGGCGACCCCGCAAGTATGGTGTTTATGCAGACATGCAAGAAATGAACCAGTGGGTCCTGGATACCATTGCACAACATGAAGGTCAATAATCTTGCTTGACGTTGTCTCGTCTTTTACACTGGTTAACTATCCAGCTGATCTGAGAGAAATTGTTAGCCAATCCAATCGAGAAACCTTGCAAAACTAAAGTGTCGCACCTTTTCTCTTGAAATTTTGATTTCCAGACCACCGAATGAAGAAAAAAACGTTAAGAAGTGCTTGATAACAATGACACAATATTTAATGATTTTGATTTTTTTAGTCCAATAACGGGTACGTTTTTAATTTTCGCTGGTCAATTTTCACAGACTTTATGACACCTCAGCTTCGTAGTGACATCATTTCTACTTCACTATTTCATATCAGCTGGATGGACTGACGTTTCCAGACAAACATTCCGACAACGATTCCTAAAGACTCAATAGGAGTACAAAAGGACGACATTTCCTGACTAGGTTAGTGACTTCTTAAAACCTCGAAAATTATAAACCCTATGTCATGTTGTCTGCATTTATTTACACAAATAAATTTTTAGAATTCCTTTCTCTGGCAAATCGCATTTAAAATCATTTTCGTAATAATTTTTAGCTTAAAATACATAAAAATAGGCTGGAATATCCGTGTCTATTCCTCGATCCAGTTCTCCAAGTCGTTATTTGTCGTAACTTGTTTTCTAATTTCCCTAGATTCTCAAGTGTATTAGAAAACAATCTTCCCTAATAAGGTGATACTTAAGTCTTGTTTGTTGTTAAAGACTGATGGGTCTTCCTATGCTGTTGGTTAAATGTGGAAAGTTAAGAGATGTGTTTTTGCCTGTCCGTCGTGTGACTGGCAGCACCTACGCACTAACCGATCATTTGACCCCCAACCATTTTTACTTGGATTCAATTGCATCCAATGCTAAATATATATTAACGATAAAATTAAAATAGGCGATCCTTTGTTGTTAGTGTTAAATTTTGACGACTCTAGGTTCATTCCTTTAAAACGTGTTTAAAAGGCCAGGGTTGAGGTTTTAAAATGTGCACAGTTAGCACAATCATTTTTTTCCTATGCTTCAAAGTTGAATTCTTTAACTGTGACTAAAATAAGAATGATGTAACTCGTGCCATACCACATACACCCCTTGCACTAAATCCCAAGCATCCTGGAGATCAAGACAAGGAATGCTTTAAGATTTCAATCCTCAAATAAAGAGAATTCTATCATTTTTACTCCCAGAATGGGAATTAGTGCTACGGGTCTATGTAAGCTCTTAATTATGAAATAACATATAATATAAACATAATATATAGGTTCATTCCTTTAAAACGTGTTTAAAAGGCCAGGGTTGAGGTTTCAAAATGTGCACAGTTAGCACAATCATTTTTTTCCTATGCTTCAAAGTTGAATTCTTTAACCGTGACTAAAATAAGAATGATGTAACTCCTCGTGCCATACCACATACACCTCTTGTACTAAATCCCAAGCATCCTGGGGATCAAGACAAGGAATGCATTAAGATTTCAATCCTCAAATAAAGAGAATTCTATCTTTTTTACTCCCAGAATGGGAATTAGTGCAACGGGTCTATAAGCTCTTAATTATGAAATAACATATAATAAAAAATTAATATATACAATGGGAAGTAGCAGTTCCACAGAGTGGCTCTCCACTTTTTGCGGAGGGAGGGAAAACCGGAAAACGCCAAAGAAAAATCCCTTGAAGCACAGGAGTGCACGAACCAGCAACTCTATTCATATGCAACACCGAGGGAAACCCTATCCTACAATATCCAAATAAATAATAATAATAAGCGGTTCAGCTTAAAAAATACTTCCAGTAGTAGAAGTTAGTATTTTTAAGAACTGATAGGGAAGTAAATACAAAGATGTATAAAACCTAAATAAAGAAATAAAGAGTTGAATAAGATAATAATTCTTTATCAATATGTAAAGACTAAAATAATAACAAACTGTATATTTAGGATTTGTAAACAAAATATAGGATTGAAGGAAGTTAAACAGATATAAATAAAGATAATAAAAACTAAATATTGATTTTTTTTCTATCAGTAATTCTTTTTTGAATGAGAAATGATTTTGGACTTTGGCTTCTTTCAAATGGAAGGAAAGAAGAATTAGAAGGAAGTAAGACAATAGTAACAAAAGCTATAATCAATTACAACTATGCAACAGAAGCACTTATCAGTAATCCTATTTTGAATGTTTGCAGAGAATTTTTTTCTATTTTTTATCTTTTTGGATTAGTTTCATAATCAAAAATGATTTTGGACTTTGGCTTCTTTCAAATGGAAGGAAAAACTGCTAAAGATTTAGAAAAGTAAGACTAATAACAAAAGCTATAATCAATTACAACTATGCA